AAATCTCCTTGTTTTTGGAGGCCACAAAGGCGTAAGATACTTCCCTTGCAAATAGCTGGGCTATATAGATGGAATAAAAGAGGGTGGCTTCTATAATTTTACTGTACAAGAATTTATGGTGGGTTTCTTTTAAACATGAAATTAAATTGCATGATTAGAACATGTGTTAAGATTTGTTTAATTGCTAAAATCAGAAATCTAGAGAACCATTTAGAGAACCACTTTACCGTTTCTCAGAGGGTTCTAAGACATATTGAATATGTCTTTAGAAAGACATGTTTTAGAAACCATATTAAAATGAGAGATTATCTAAGAAACCTATTACATTATTTACTATGTGAGATAATAGTCACATCCAAAATACTGCTGAAATTTCTGAGAGCTTCTTAAAGTTCTGTCTTCACTCATAACTTCTCAAGAGAAAATGGATTCTTTTCTTGTACTTGTACTTCCTGCCTTCACTGAGGACCCTATTCCAGGATCTACGACTTAGGGCTGGACAGGACCTTCACGACCTTTGCCTTGTGACATGTTAAATTTGGGAGGCAATGCTAGAAAGGCCCCTGGGAATAATGAAAGACCGTCTTTTTGTTTATTTGTCTATATTTTTTCACCAAGCAGACCTTAGGGATTCCATCTGCAGTGCTGGCCTTCATGCTTCCCTTAAATTTTCCAAAGGTTTACCCCAGTTGTAGAAACACTAAAACAGTTGGGGATATTATTTCTGTATACGCTTATTGTGCAAGTCAAGGCTGAATACACCAATTGTTTTTACTCTCAAATGTGGCAAAGCAGTTGTGGTAATATTTGTTAGTACAGAGAACCCAACATCAGTACCTTACTGTTGACTCAACTCCAGACTTTATTTGGCTTTTCCTAGTTTTTTCACTAATACACTTTTTCTGTTCTAGGATCCAATCTGGAAGATTATATTACATAGTCCTCATTTCTCCACAGTGAACTTGGTTCTGTGACAGCTTTCATTTTCCTTATTTTTCATGACCTTGATTGTTTTTGAATAGTATTGGTCAAGTGTTTTGTGGAATACCCCTGGTTTTTAGAAGACTGTTCTCCACAAATTGAGCAGTTTTATAAGGGACTGTGATACATACACACATTTCCTCATGTGCATAAAAACCTTTCATCTTCACTATATTGACAATAACTTTTTCTTCTTTTCTTCCTCATAAAGGAAAACCTCCAAAAATAATATTGAAAATGGTGACCATAAATCTAAGCATGTTGCTTCCACGTTTTCTGGAAAGACTGAATCAAATCATAAACCACACTTCTCAAGGCTCCAAGACATATGTAATGGTATGTTTCTTTGTAAAGGGTACGTGTTTTAGAAACTATTAAAATGATAGGTTATCTAAGCAAGTTATTTTATGTGAAATGCTTAGTTAGGCTTTACTGGAGAGTCTGTTGTGTCATTAATTGTGTATTATAAAGAAGGAATACAGGTGAAGTTGATTCATTTAGCCCACTTTATCCAAACTGTCCAAGAAGTCAGTGCTATAATAACTTTATTCTAACTATTTTTTTTATTGAGGTGAAATTTATATAACACAAAGTTAATCATTTTAAAGTGAATAATTAATTGCATTTAGTATATTCACATTGATGTGCAACCATCACCTCTATCTAGTTCCAAAACATTTTTACGTCACCCCAAAAAGAAAACCCATACCCATTAAATAATCATCCTCATTCCCATCCAGCCCCTGGGAATCATCGATGTGTTTTCTGTCTCCATGGATTTCCCTATTCTAAATATTTCATATAAATGGAATCAAACAATATGTGACCTTTTATGTCTTGGCTTCGTTCAATTACCATGTTTTTGAGGTTCATCCACATAGGATATATCAATACTTCATTTATTTTTATGTATGAATAATACTTCATTTAGTTTTATATATGAATAATATTTATAATTTGTTTATGCATTAATGCATTTGTGGACATTGGCTTATTTTCACCTTTTGGCTATTGTTATGAGCGTATGTGTACACGTGTTTGAGTACCTGTTTTCAATTCTTTTGGGTATATACCTAGGAGTGGAATTGATGGGTCCTATGGTAATTCTATCTTTAACTTTGTGAGGAACCACCACACTGTTTTCCATAGGAGTTAGAGTATTTTACATTACTATAAACAATCCACGAGAGTTCCAATTTCCACAACCTTGCCAACTCTTGTCATTTCTGTTTTTCTGATTATAGCCATCCTAGTGGATGTGAAGTGGTATCTCATTGTAGTTTTTATTTGCATTTCCCTAATGACTAATGACAGAGCATCTTTCACAAGCTTATTGACCATTTGTATGCCTTCTTTGGAGAAATGTCTACTAAGCCTTTGCCAATTAAAAAAAAATTTTTTGTGTGTCATTGAGTTCTAAGAGTTCTTTCTATATTTTGAATATTAGACATTTATGATTTACAAACATTTCCTCTCATTCTGTAGGTTATCTTTTCATTTTCTTTCTAATGTCCCTTTATGCAGAAAAGTTTTTGGTGTTGATGAAGCTCACTTTATGTCTTCTTTTTCTTTTGTTGCTTGTGCTTTTGGTGCCACATCTGAGTTTTGCTTGTCAAACCAAGGTCATGAAGATGTATGCCTGTGTTTTCTTCTAAGAGTTTTAAATTTGAGCTCTTAGATTTAAGTTGTCGGTCCACTTTTTTTTTAAGATTGTTTTTTTAATTGGGGAATTGGGGGGAAGGGAACAGCGATGGGGAATTGGGGGAAGGGGAACAGACAAGTTGCTGTTGTTTTGTTCTTCAGTCTAGTTGTGGAGGACGTTGCTTCACTGGCCCAAG